CAGCTTTGGGGTGAGCTGGCGGCTGTCCTGGCTCGGCGATGGGCTTTGACCTGGGTGTCCCCATGGCATGGGCTGGCCTGTGGGCTCTTGGCACCCCCTGCCCCGCATTCTGCCTTCTGTCACCCCCTGCCCCGCATTCTGCCCTCCCTGCGGGCTCCATCATCCTCTGCCTGGAGTTCCATCACCCCCTGCCCCACGCTCTGCCCTCCCTGCAGGTTCGCCAGGATGCTGCGAAGGACCAGGGCTGCTGTGATGCTGCAGAAGACCCTGAGGATGGTTCTGGCCCGACGCGCCTACCTCCGCCTGCGTCGGGCTGTCATCACCATCCAAGCCTTTGCCCGCGGCATGTTTGCCCGGCGCATTTACCAACAGGTAGGAGCCCAGCAGGGCAGCGGGTGTCCCAGTCCCGCCTGGGGGGGCTGCGTCGGTGACACCGCCTCATCTCTCCCTCCACAGATGATGTGGCACCAGAAAGCCGTGGTGATCCAGGCTGCTGTCAGGGGCTGGCTGGGCCGCCCCCGCTATGCCCGCCTGCGCGGGGCCGTCATCTACCTGCAGTGCTGCTACCGCCGGCTGCGGGCGCGCCGGGAGCTGCGGCAGCTGCGTGTCGAGGCACGCTCGGTCGAGCACTACAAGCAGCTGCACAAGGGCATGGAGATCAAGGTGATCCAGCTGCAGTGCAGGCTGGATGAGCAGGTGGGTGCCGGCTTCAGCCCTTCAGGGGTCCCAGGGCATGGGGGCAGCTGCTTTTTGCTGACCGCTCCTTACCTGTTGTTATGGTTTGAGAGACCTCTAACAACTTATTGCTGTTTAGACAATCATTCTATCCCCTGATGACCCCCTCCCCAGCTGGGAAAGGGAATCGGGGAAAAACAAGAAAACCCGGGAGCTGAAGTATAAACAGATTTAATAGAGTAAGATTAGATAATTAACATTAATAGCACTAAAGCCAATATTGATCCCGATACCCATACAGAATCTGCAAAGATTATACTCGGCCAATTATATCAGTAGGAAGCTGTGCACTCCCAGCAGTGACAGCCAATGTGGGACACAGCGAGCACTGCGGCTTCACGAGGAAGGGAAGGGCTCAGGGCTGCGGCACCGGGGCATGAAGTTCTTGGGATGGCAGCCATCACAGGAGAGAGAGAACTTCGCAGCAAACTTTCTAATTTATAGTGAATGTGCCGTTCATGGTATGGAATAACCCTGTTGGCAGCTTGGGTCAAGTGCCCGGGTCTCACTCCTCCTCATCCCAGCACCCGGCAAGCTCAAAACCACTAAGACCTTGAAACCCACACACCATAGCTGGCTAGAAAGTAAACATTTTCCCAAATTCAGACACCAGAGTCTTCTAAAAGTACAGTCTTCCCAAGTATTAGAAGATAAATTAGTCCTGTGTCGCCAAAACCATGCCTGCCCTGGTCCCCAGTCCTCTCCTGGCCCCAGGGTGGGAGCTGGCCCTGCCTGACCTGTCCCCAGGCAGGAGTGGTGCATCTGGGTCTCATTCCTGGGTTTTTTCGATGCTCCCTGTGGATGTGGGGCTGGTGGCACCCTCCTGGATGCTTGGTTGGGCTCAGCCATGCAGTCCAGCATCACGTGCTGGGAACAACTCTGGCATGGTGCTTTTGCCCACCATGCTCCTGCTGGCAGTGTCTGCCATCACCATCTGGGTGAGCGTCTCCGCTCCTGCTGTCACTGCTCCACTTCTGAGGGTGTCTGTGGAGGGGGACGGAGGGATTCTGTGGTGTGATCCCATCTCTCCGGGTTGGGGAAAGCAGGGCTGGAAAACCCTGCTGTCAGGGCTGGTCAGGAGGTGGGTAATGGGCTGTAAAACCATGACAAAGCTCCTGTGTAGCTCCACGTGGGATGGTGTGTCACGGAGAGCCGCTTTCCCAGGCCTGAGCTCTGTTTGAGGTAATACCGGAGGTTCGGGGCTCCAAACAGATGGGTGGGAAATGGGGTATCCAGGTTCCTTGTAGAAGGGCAGCCTGTGCATACACAGGTGGTCGTTGATGGGAGCCATGTGGGGATATGGCTCTGTTCCTGGCCACCTGCATGACATGCTCTGCCCATCAACCCAAGGCCCAGGAGAAGCAGCGGTTGGTGGAGCAGCTCTCGGGGCTGAACGTTGCCCATGCTGAGGAGGTGCAGCGCCTGCGGGCGGAGATGCAGCGGCTGCGGGAGGATGCGGCCCGTGATGCGCAGGTCCAGCAGCTGCAGGAGCGGCTGGCCGAGCTGGAGAGCCACAGCGCGAAGAACAGCCTGAGCCAGGAGGTTGAGGAGCTGAAGCAGGTCGGTCTGTCTGTCCGGGGGATGCTGTGCTTCCCACCGTGGGGGGGGTCCCTGGAGGAGGTCTCTGGCAGCCAGGGTTGGCCCTGGGCAGGGCTCTGGCTGTACCGGCCCCTCTGTTTTCCCACAGCGCTTGGCAGAGGTGGAAGCCATGAAGCTGCAGCTGGGGGAGGAGAGGGATGCCCTGGCGCAGCGCATGTTGGAGCAGTCGCGGGATCTGGAAGGTAAAAGCGGTCCCCTGATCCCCTCACCCCATTGCCCTGAGTTAAGGGCTGGTCCTGAAGGCTTGGTGTGTTCCTGCGTGTCCCCTCGCAGAGGGGTCCTGGCTCTGCCTGTTCCCACTCCCCGCTCTGTCCGTCCCCACAGAGCGGCACCAGCGTGCGGCACGAGAGAGCCAGGGGCTGCTGCAGGAGCTGGAAGAGGAGCGGGCGCGCTACCAGAGCCTGGTGCAGGAGTATGCCCGCCTGGAGCAGGGCTACGAGAACCTGCAGGATGAGGTGGCCTTCCACAGGGTGAGGAGCTGGCAGGGAGATGGGGAGGCTGAGGACAACCCCTCCCTCATGGGGAGCAGGCAGCGCTGGCTGGTCCAGGGCACCCTCTGTGAGAGACGTGGGCTCTCCAGTTCACATGCTGGGGGATCCCCAAGGTGTCCTCCTGAGGCTACTGCTGCTCTGCCCCAGCTCATGGGCCACCAGGCACTTGGGGTGCAGGAGAACAACCTTGTCCTTCTCTTCCCCACTCAGCAAAGCACCTTGAGACGGTCCCCTTCATCAGAGAGCTTCTTGGGCTCCGAGAGCAGCTACTTGTCCTCCATGTCCACAGCTCCTTCACGAGACAGCTCTGACCAGCAGGCTGAGGCTAGTGGTGATACTGGTGGGGACGATGGAGTGAGGGGGGACAAGTGGACTGTCCCTACTCCTGGCTGTGGGGGCAGCTGTGCCCTGGGGCTCCTGGCTGGGAGGTGGCCCTGTTAGGATGGGGTGTCTGCAGGTGTTATGGCGCTGGCTGCCATGCCAAATGCTGTCTCCGCACACAGGGGCTGGAGGAGCGGTGGCAGCTGGTGCCAGAGGGACCACAGCCACAGCCCAGCAGTGAGGTCCCACAGAATAGCGGTGTGGGCCAGGATCCCTTCGAGAAGGCCTACCTTCTCCTCCTGGGGCAGCTCAGTGCCGTCAACGAGGAGTTGGCCCGCACCCGGGAGGAGCTGCGGAGGTCCAAGACCACCATGGAGCCGGAGGAGAGGAAACCCTTGGACTTCCTCAAGCGCAGGGTGAGCCCCTGCCCTGCTGCCGGGAGTAGGGCCAGGCTGGTGGGGCTGGCCTCACCCTGCTCTCCTCCCCCTACAGAACATAGCTGAGATGCTGGGGCTGGGCAGGAGCCCGGAGAAGGTGGCAGTGGATGATGACTTGAAGCACGCATACGATGCGGTGCAGGTTGCCAACAGGTGAGTGTGGTCCCAGTGAGATGGATTCCCCCCACAATGGGCTGCTGGATCCATGCTGCTGGTGGGGCTTTCCCTGGTGTTTTAGCCAGCCATGGCTTGGGATGCAGTTGCCTGGCTGCTGTAGTACAGAGCAAATCCTCTTTGAAGCTGCCACCTCCTCGCATGCTATTGGCACCATAGCCCCAGCTGGACTGGGAGACCCAGGGCAGCCTGCCCCTTGCTACCCCCTTGGGTGTGGGGTAGTCCTGGCTCTCCTTCCCTGCTTTCCAGTACACTCAGCTGTGTTTTCCAGGGGGGGGATGGTGCATCCCAGCTTGTTCTGAGCACAGTCGCACCAACTGCATGAGCAGACCGGATGCCCTGGGCTCAACTGGAGTAACAAGAAATAGGGTGAGGGGAAATGGCCTCAAGTTGCACTAGGAGAGGTTTAGGATGGATAGTGGTGTAGCCTAGAAGGCCAACAGCATCCCAGCCTGTATCAGCAGTAGTGTGGCCAGCAGGACTGGGGCAGTGACCGTCCCCCTGTACTGGGCACTGGTGAGGCCCCACCGCGAGTGCTGTGTTCAGGTTTGGGCCCCTCAGGACAAGACAGACATTGAGGGGCCGGAGCGTGTCCAGAGAAGGGCAACGGAGCTGTGAGGGGTCTGGAGCACAAGTCCTGTGCGGAGCGGCTGAGGGCCCTGGGGGTGTTCAGCCTGGAGAAGAGGAGGCTGAGGGGAGACCTTCTCGCTCTCTACAGCTCCCTGAGAGGAGGGGGCAGCGAGGGCAGGTCGGTCTCTGCTCCCAAGGAACAGGCGATGGGACAAGAGGAAACAGCCTCAAGCTGAGCCAGGGGAGGTTTAAGATGGAGAACAGGGAAAATTCCTTCACCAAATGAGTTGTCAAGCAGTGGAAGAGGCTGCCCAGGGCAGTGGTGGAGTCGCCATCCCTGGAGGGATTTACCAGAGGGGCAGATGTGGTGCTGAGGGACATGGGTTAGTGGTGGGTTTGGCAGTGTCAGGTTGATGGTTGGACTCTATGATCTTAAAGGTCCCTTCCAACACAGACAACTCTCTGATTCTCCAATTCCATGGTTCTATGACCCTCAGACTGGCCTTCCCCACCAGTCCCATGCTGCTGCTTGGCTCCGGCCCGATCCCGCTCCTGCTTCTGACCTGCGGATCTCTCCTTCCCCACCAAACCTGTCCCACCACCACCTCACCCTGGGCCCG